GCTTGGGATAATAGATCCGTGCGAACGGGAAGGCACAATGGCTCGGCGTATAACAGAGGGATTATCTCCGCCAGCCACGGTGCTTTGGGCCATCTGGGTGCTATCAGAATGAGAGACAGGCCCTGCTCTCTCACCCTGGCCAATGTGGGAATTATCAGGCACAGGGGAGGAAAGGCATACAGGAGCACTCTGGGCCATGGGTGGGCCAGTGCGTCTACCCCGAGGGGCGCGTCCATGTCCCTTAGAGAGAAGAACATAGGACAATGGCAGTTTTCGCGCGAGGCGAATAGATCTACGCTCGCCCGTCCGAATCTCATCCATAGCATTTCCACTATCTGCGGATGAAGACGCCAATCCCCGTAGATTGGGTTTCTCCTCGACAGCAGATCTGCGCCGATGTTCAGAATGCCTGGGACGTGAGTCGCGCGTAGCGACAAGAAAACCCGTCTGCTCCACACCAAGAGCTTGTGAGCTAGAAGGTGAAGTTTCGACGAGCGCAAGCCGCCCTGACGGTTGATATATGCCACAGCCGTGGTATTGTCGCACCGTACCAGCACGTGATGTCCCTGCAGGCGAGGCAGAAAATGATTCAGAGCTTTCCAAATGGTCAAAAGCTCTAAATAATTTATATGTGCTGAACGTAGTCTGTTTGGCCACAGACCGTTCACCGTTCTGCCCTCCTGGGTGGCACCCCAGCCTGTTAAGGATGCATCTGTCGTCACCACTTTCCGCATCGTAACCGCCCCGAGAGGGGTTCCCCGTGCGTAAAAGTCTGCGTTCTTCCAATGACGCAGGGCTGCAGAGCACGCGCGCGTCACTGTAACCGAGCGGCAAAGGTCGTGAATCGGGCTGAAATGTAGCGACAAAACCCATTTCATGAACGCCCTCATCCTCAGGAGTCCTAATGGCACAACTTGGGTGGATGAAGCCATGAGACCCTGCATCCTGAGACATGTGCGATATTGCACTTTCGCCCCTTCTCTGAACTGTGACAGACAGCTCATTAGAGAGCGAACGCGCTCCAGAGAGAGACGCGCTCGCATGGCAACCGAGTTCAACTCCAAACCCAGGAAAATGACATTCTGACTGGGCGTGAGATTGCTCTTGCCCACGTTCACTTGGAACCCGAGCGATGTGATGTGCGCGAGCACACGGCCGGTGTCCTGCAACACCTTCTCCTTCGATTCGGCTATGATGAGCCAATCGTCTATGTAAGTCAGGATTCTCAGACCTGTTATTCTCAGAGGCGTTAAGCCCGCCTCCGCGCACAGACAGAAAGACCGGGGACTCAAACTGAGTCCAAACGGAAGAACTGTGAATTCGTAACATATGCCCTGGTAGGCAAAACGAAGAAACTTCCTGTGCGGAGGATAAATGCTTATGTGAAAGAAAGCATCTTTCAGATCGACTGATGTGAACCAGTCGTTCTGTTTTATGGCACGGGCGAGTGCGCCCTGTGTCAGCATTCTGAAATTGTATTTCCTCAAATGTTTGTTCAACACTCGAAGGTCCAAGATAGGGCGGAGAGAGCCGCCTTTCTTTGGAACCAGAAAATACCGGGAATAAAAACCCTGGTTCATCAGATTGGGGGGTACCACCTGAATCGCTCCCTTGTTTAAGAGAGATGAAATTTCCTCTTCCAGAATGTGAGAGGCTTTCTCTTCCGTGTGAGAAAAGAGAATGCCGTTGAAATGAGGGGGTTTTACTGCGAATTGCAATCTGTAACCCTGCATTATTGTACGCATAACCCACTCGGGAGCCGAAACGGTTCGCCAAGCCGCTTCGTGGCTCGCGAGTGTCCCCGCTCGGGGCAGAGCGGAGCTGTGTCTTGAGACCAACAGATTTATTTGTGATGCAATGGCGCCATCTCGTGGGCACACTAGAGGCGACATGCGGGGGTTCGGAGGGGATTCCTCTCTCTGCAGTGAGAAAGGTTCTCTCTGCGGAGAGAGGTTTTCCCTCCGAAACGAATTTGTTAGATTCGTTTTTATTTGTGTTTTGTGTGTTTTGTGCTGGGCAAACACTGGGGCCGAAGCCTTTATTGAAAGAGTGAGGGGAACAGAGTGAGGGCAGTGTGGTTTTGACACTGAACTTAACCTTCCTCTCACCAGAGGCCCCCTGAACGTGGGGGGAAAACACACATTCCTTGAACACACGGGCTGGGCAGTCTCGACAGGCGGCAAGCTGACCCATCCGCGGGACTCCCGGGGTCTTTTGGACGGGGGTCCTAGAAGGAGAGAGGAGTCCAAGGGGCTCGCGGCCCGTGAACGTGGACTGGAAGTCCCCATCGACTGAACGTCAGGCATGCCGCTTGCGTTTCGAGTGGTCGGTGGGGTTGGAATTAGCAGGTCTCCCAGCCGCGGCCGCGGCGGGAGCGGGCTTAACCCAGTGTTTGTTAGAGGGCGCTGGGTTATGATGTCGTGAAGGCGGTTTGTTTCGGGACTTTTCCTTGCCCTGGGGAAACTGACGTCCCGTGACCGGTGGGTTAGGCGAACGCACAGGGGGATTCTGGCGTGGACCTGACTTCCTCGGAAGGCAAAGTTTGAAAGCCTCATCCTCCTTTTTCTTGTCGTCGCACCGTTGTTGCATCAGTGCGACGGCGGGGCCGAAGAGAGCCCGGCCGGGCTCCACCGGCGCGCCCGCGATGCGCCGCTTCTCGCTGTCCGGGAGTCCCGACAGGTTCAGCCAGAGCGCGCGCTCTCCCACCACGGAGAGCGCCATGGAGCGCCCGCACGCTTGGACAGCGTGACGGGCGTTACGGAGGACGAGGTCGTTCACCGTGAGGATCTCCTTCCAAAGGATTTCGGAAGGATTACCTTTTTCTAGCTGTTGCCCTAATTCTTCGAGGATCTCCGCCTGGTAGGCGGAGAGGAGCGAAGAAACGTTAAGGGCCCTGACAGCCACAGACGAGGATTTATACGCTGCCTGGTGAACGGACGCAGCGAAACGGTCCATTTTGTTGGGCAGGACTGGCTTAGGGGGGGCGAGCAGCCCACCCTGAGCGGGGTTAAGGTGCCTGGCGATAGAAGGCTCGACGGCGGGGGGTCGCCCATACCGTGAGCTGCCATGTCCTTAACTTCGAGTCCCGTGAGACCGTGTCTGAAGTCGAGCGGATCGCTCCAATAGTTCCTCATGTGCTTAGCGCACGCCGGGAGGATGGGGAAGAGTTGTTTCCTCGGGCCGGGAGGGGGTCCCAACACTTTCCCATCATAAATATCCCTCTCCTGGTCGGTGGCGCTCTGAGGTGCTGGCCATTCAATGTTGAGACGAGCGGCCGCTCGTTCACACACCTCCAGGAGGATGGCTTGAGGAAGAGCCGCGTGAGCGGTAATCTGGGGAACGACAGAGGGCGGGAAGGCCTCCTCGTCCTCTGAAACCCCAAGAATGGCCGCATCCTCCTCTTCGCCAGAACCGGCCGGTTCGTGGGCGAGAGCGAGGTTATCCCCGAAGATGTCCTCCTCGGGGAAGGCTGGATTGGGCTGGTCAGCCCAGACGAGCGACGAAGCGTCCCGAGAGGCCCTCGGTGGCGCGTCGTCATCACCGTGTCCCCCGTCCGAGTCTGAGCCCGTGGGGCTGAGCTCGGAGCACTGTGTCACTGCTACCTTGAATCGACGTTTAAGCAGTTTCCTCGGCAGCAAGAGGCAGAAACTGCAGTTATCTGGGTTCTCAAGGGCTTCCCGAGCGTGCTTAGGACCCAAACAGACAACGCAAAGCTGGTGGAGGTCTTTAGCTGCGATAAGGGCTCCACACGCGGCCGGGCAGGCCCGTGAAAAGCTATCCCCAGATGATGCCGTAGGCTTAGACAGAGACATAGCGAGGGAGAAATCCGTGGCGAGCAGCCGTGTTGTAGAACGGTGAGAAAAAGCTCCGAATGCACAACAGCAGTTGAATTTAATCTGCCACGTCCGGTGGAGGCTGATCAGGCCGATATGTCCTCCTGTAGACACGAGGTGAGCAGAGTAAAAAACTAACCGAGCTGAGAATTGCAGAGATCGCGAGAAGCGAATGACAACTGAGGAATAGCAGCGCGCCCAGATGTTATATGCCCGTGGGTGAGGGGTGTGGCCTCATCGGGCATTGGCCGCGCGCTTCTGTCTGTCTAGCCAGACTTGGTGCAATTGGATGCTTCTGCAGAGGTCAGGTACGGATGCCCTTCCCATAGGTGGATCTCGAACACGAGATGATGAAAGAGAACGAGCTACAAATTACTGTTGCTTACCTCCAGTTCGTGTTGCAAAATGGATAATATTACCCACCGTCTTCAAGCCACCTGATATGTAACACCTCTTTTATTATTTTGTCAAACAATGTTTTTGAAATAAACCTGTTTTTAATTTTCATTGATGATTAATAATGGCAATGTTCGGACATATTATAGACTGTTAATAGTTATTTTATATATAATTCATTGTAATCGACCTAAATGTTTTAGACAATTTTTAATGAGGAGTAAGATTAATATTTTATTATCCTCACAGTCACAGCACGTTGGTTATGTGCTGTGAAAATATTGCGTGGCAAATTAATTATAATAGCGGATCAATTTAATAGTAAAATTAGCCTATAGGCCTCCCCTAATAATGATAATATAATAATAATAATTAAATGCATAAATTGAAAATACTAAATCATCTTGATACTGATAGCAGATGCTTGTTTTGACAATATCTCTGGATACATACACGTAAATAGGCGCAATCCAGGGGGTTCTCGCAGATATTACACGTATAGTGTGAGCAGTGAAGTCGCAGCTCGACGATCGGACCGTACAGTGTGAGCACATAAATCCTGAACTTTGGCTTTACATCGCATGCGATTTACTCGTTCAGTGTGAGTAGGTACCTTGCTGAAATCGCACAGACATCGCACAGTGTATGCCCGCCTTAAGTGACCCGTACTACAGACTACAGCGTGCATTCTCTCTTGCAGCGCGTTTAGTGATTGGCTTACATCAGCGCAAGCGCTGTCGATCCTTTTCCAGCTCGATACTGAACAGATTGAGAACGACGACAAGACGCTGACGAACAAGAGGTGGAAGAAGACAACTGAAGCGCCTCGTCTTTATTATTTTATAAAGATCAGTTAAGACAAATAATTTCGGTAAGAATATGCAAAGTACATCAATTTACACAATGCATTTCATGTAGCCATACACAACACTCTCGACATTTGCAACATGCAGTGGTTTTATACGCTTAATGGAAGGCAGGGTGATTGTGAGCTGCAAACAATGAGCTGTTTTAATGGACAATGCGACGCCAGACACCTCTTCCTTTCCGTGCAGTGAATGTTGTTTTAAAATTTCTAAAACGTGCTATGCTGATTTAAGGAATTGGGTAAATAGCAGCGAGCTTTGTTTCAGTTGTAGACGACATTAATTAATTTGCGCTTGTAAATACAGACGGCGCCATTTTGTCATCTCGCTGGTTTTGAGGTTTGAATGGCTGATGACGCCATACGACGGATGTTCTCGTTAAACTCTATTTACGGTACTTCAGTCATTTTATTTTAAGAAATCAAAGAGTGCTGTGTTTTCAAAGCGTATTTCACATGTTTCTATTGTTGTTATGGTTTGTTCTTTTATTTCAGTGGTTCCAGCTAAAGCAAGCTGTAAACGTGCAAAATAAGCAACGTTTCCTTGATGAGGCTCATTTAATATTCGATGTTGTTTCAATTTTATTGACAGTGACACTAAGTCATATTTCAGCATAAGCATAAAATTGTACTTTAAAGGTCGTTTATGGTGACATTGGAGTGTTTGATTATGGTGACGTTCGAGTGTTGATGCAATGGAAATCCTCAAATGAAGGTTTTTATACAGCGTTTTTTAAAGTCCAATCAGCAGACCTCAACCTTGATGTCATACTGATTTGGTTGTTAGTTGTTACCTGTTTTTTTTTTTTTTTTTTTTTTTTTTTTTTTGCCAACATGCATTCAGGTTTATGTCCACATGGTTATTAGCCTCTGATTATGTGACGTAGTTTCCACTTTTGGTAAGGCTCTTAATATTTTATAAAGCTTATCAAGCAGAATGTTGGAGGTTGTCGCTCATTTTGGGTCTGAAGACACTGAGTTTTATATATCTAAACTAGTTTTATGGTTTTTGGTGGTAGGTGATCAAATACTTCTCTTCCTATTTAAACAGTTCACCATTTTTTTTAATTCTGTTATAATTTTCTCACCCTAAACCATAAGACCCATACAAAAAAATAATAATTAAACTTTCAGTTATAGCTATCATGTCAGAACACTTGGATTTAAACTTTTAGTTACATGGACTTTCAGAGTAATGACAAAGATGATAGAAAGATCAAAGAATATTGTATAAATATCTCCATTCATGTACTGAAGATAAAATTAGGCGAACAAGTCTTGACAACATGAAGGTTGAGTAAATTATGACAGAATTAATTTTTGGGGAAACCATCCCTTTAAGTGTCATGCCCTAAGTAAGGTGTACATTTCTTGTTCTTTTGTAGTGTAATAGTGAAGAGAGGTTTCTACAGTGGTTGTACTGTTTGGTGTCTAAATGGCATTTTTTTTTCTGATATTCTTGTATGTTTACAGGTTACCAATTTACAGATTAGAAATACAAGAGTTAGGATTTAACAGGCTTTTAGAGAGGTTCTCTGATTACGTTTCTTATTTATTGCTCACAATTTACCAACATTATCAGATTTTATATTCACTCTATGCAATGTCACAATCTGTGTTTCTAGCTTAATATATTACAAAATGTGTTGATGCGTTGCTGTTAAGTATGAATGTGTGCTGGGGTTCATGAAATACATGACATTCATGTTTTCTAAGACCAATTTTAATGTGTATGGTTTTTGCGAAGCAGCCGGCAAACTTCTGATGTGCACAAGTGGTGATTCATTTTATTGTTTTGCTGTAGCAGAATGTTACAAAATGGACTGGAAATTGCTGGATGGTTTTCTTGGAGACAGTCATGGCTATGCTTGTTCTAATGCTGTTTACATATATTTCCCTCCATTTATTCTTTTTATTGCAGTCAAGAATTGATTTTAAATGATTGCCGTCAGGATTGGCTTGGGTATCCTGTGCATCTTGTAACGAAGCAGCACTTTAAATACAGGTAAGCATTTGAGGGATATTAGTTAAACTATAAACAAAATATTTGCTCAACTTATTTTTTTAATTGTTTAATAAAAGTGTGAGAAAAATTAATGCATTTAGAAATGTCGAAATTTGTTAGAAATATTTTGTGGTCTTGAGTGATATCATTGCAGTATGGATTCTTTGTGAATGGATGACTCTCCAATGCAATTCAAATTTTAAGTGTTTTGGGGGACATTTAGCTGGCTACAGTAAAATGTTAAAAAATAATAAGCAATTTTTTTTAGAGGGTTCTCAGGGCTCAAAGCTAAGGATTTTTGCATACTGGTCCAGTCAGGAGGCCAGTGGTTAAAATTTTAACTTGCCCTGCCAAAATTTTTATTTACCATCTCTTTATGTTCTCTTAAGATATAACTCACTGTTTTTAATAGGATACTCACTGACATGTTTTGAAGTTATTTTGTGTGAATATGTCCATTCAAAAATAGACATCAAAGAGAGTTCTATTCAGCATTTGCACGCTGTTGGAGAAGCGTATTTTGTGGGTGTGCGCTTCAGATGTGTGCGCACACAACTTTTCACACTATTGATTTGAGTTCTATTTAGTGCTATCTTGCACTTAAATATTCAAATTGGAAAGGCTTAAAAACATGTGCAAATGATTATCTCATAATGCAGCACTGGCCCAATAGGTTGAGTTAAAGTTGCGTCAACTGTCCCGAGCGACGTTTACTCTGGCCCCTGACCAATGGGCAGTCTTTATTGTTGGGCTCTTCTTTCCACAGTTGTTAAAAACATGGAAATATAAGGATGATTTTTAATTTGTAATTTCTTACTCTGGAAACATGTATGGGGATAGTTCACCCAAAAATGAAAATTGTCATTTACTCACCCTCAAGTTGTTCCAAACCTGTATGAATTTCTTCTGCTGAACACAAAAGATATTTTGGAAAAATATGGGTACCCAAACAGGCCCAGTGTCCCACTGACTTCCATAATATATTATATTTTATTTCTCCATACTATGGAAGTCAATGGAGCCCTGGGCCTGTTTGATTACCCATATTCTTCAAGGTATTTTCTTTTGGTCAAAATGTGTCAAGTCCTTTAAGCCAAGGACTGTGTAAAATAAGCTGAAACAGTGGTTTTCAATGCTGGTCCTGTGTTTTTTTTTTTTTTTTTTTTATTTTTTATCCTGGTCATAGGGTCCCACAGTATGCTAGCTACTGTGCTTTTGCTATGACTCCAAAGCCATTAAAAGGTGTGATGAGCTAAGAATCTGTGTTAGGCTTTGATGTGATAAAATTCATGTTCTATTTTTTTAGAGATGCACCGATTACAATTTTTCTAGGTCGATTACGATTTTTCATTGAGTTTGACCTCCTGATTCAGATTTCATTTTTTCTAACCACTTTACCGCACACACAAATATTTATTTTCTATCTTTTCTTTAATAGAACATTTTGCTTAGACATTTTTTTAACAGATAATTGGTATAAAATAGAACTATAAATTACTTTTGGTGTGGGAAATTCACACACATCTAAAGTGCAGTGTTATGGACACATCCAATATCCATCTAAAACAAATCGATATATTTAGCAAACTAAACTTCTGTATGAAAACAGGAAAGTTTAGAGAGAAAATAAAATATAAATGACAAATAAAAATAAAATAAATATAGCCTTGCAGTACAAAGATTTCTCATAACACACACACAGTCCTATTGCAATAACTTGTACATCAATGGCAAGTTTTTCTTCGCAAAAAGAAGCATTTCTGCTTTGTCACCTGATAGTCTGTTTTTTCTCTCTCATCTCCCACATGTCCAGCCAAATTCTGTGCATTTTGTCCATCTAAAGTGTGCTTTCACTTTGAGCGTGGGCAGCGCAGCAAAATACACTCTGTGCCGAAAACCTGCTGCTCATGCGATGCGCCTGCTTTTGATGCTCATGTGCTGCCTCCTGCTCCCAGTGTGAATGCACTCATTTATTAACATGCATGTAAAAAATATGCGCTGCTTGCGGAGTGAGGTTTCCTACATGTGCGTTCCATCCATGTGCACATGTGATGCTGATGTTGCGCGATGTTAATCATGCGGTACCCGGCTTAAAATCGGCATATGTCAGACTGACTGGCCAGTCGCAGATCACGTGAAAATCAATCGGTGCATCTCTACTATTTATTTTTCTGTTGTCATAATGTTTCTCATATAATCTTTGGTCTTGCTGTTAATTTTCTTGTGGTTTGTATACTGGTTCTGTGTTATCTTTTTGCCTTTTATCATAGCCTGACAGTCGTTGCCTTCTTTCATCTACAGGTGTGTTTTGTTGCACCTCAGCATGGCTGTGGTCATCCGTTTGCAGGGTCTCCCCATTGTGGCTGGGACTATGGACATACGTCATTTCTTCTCTGGATTGACCATCCCAGATGGTGGTGTGCATATTGTAGGGGGTGAACACGGTGAGGCTTTTATCGTGTTCGCCACAGATGAAGATGCAAGGCTTGGAATGATGCGCACAGGGGGCTCGATCAAAGGTTCCAAGGTGTCTCTGTTACTTAGTAGCAAAACAGAAATGCAAAACATGATTGAGCTGAGCCGTAGGCGCTTTGAAACCGGCAGTGCAGAGGTTGCCACAGGAAATGGTAGTCGGCCGGGTCCACCAGTTAGTACTGGTGGAAGTGGAAGGGGCAACTTGGCAACCACAGCCCAAGGTTTTAGTAACACAACTTCGACTACAGCCACCACAGCAGTGTCAACACACGAGCCTGTAAGCAACAAGACTGTCCCTACCTTTTCGACCACTACCATGGGAAATATGCCCCCAAACTTTAATAATTTTAGCAGCCCAAGTCTTAGTTTGGGATCAACAATGACAACGGCAATGTCATCCTTGAACTCTGTACCTCCCCCAATACCTCCCTTGCCCACCATGCCAACTCTACCACCGATGCCCCCCATGCCAGGACCCCCACCAGTATCCACATTACCACCGGTACCTGCTGTTAATCCGCTAACGTCAGTGCCTCCGGTCCCTCCCATTGCACACATGACGCACATGTCTGCGCTTCCTCCATTCAATCCTGGTGTCCCTCCCCCAGTCGGCCCTTTATCTGGTGGTATGGCTGCCTCTGGTCCACTGTCTCTTGGAAATCACAATCCAATGTTCCTAAATCCCCTTAACCCCCTTAACCTCCATTCTCACATGAAACCAGCACCGACAAACCCAGATGAGTTTTACGTTCATCTACACGGCCTTCCTTTTTCAGTCACTGAATGTGAAGTCAGAGATTTCTTCCAGGGACTTGGGATTGAGTCTGTTCGTTTGCTTAAAGACCACATGGGTAGAAACAACGGCAGGGCATTGGTTAAGTTCTTCTCGCCCCAAGAGTCTTTTGAAGCTCTGAAAAGAAATGCTGGATTGATTGGCCAAAGATATGTTGAAGTTTCTCCAGCTACAGAGCGACAGTGGAGAGAGAGTGCGGGACAGTCTAAAGCAGGTGGTGACTCCGAACACAATCGCAATCGTCGCAGAAGTGCCAATTCGCCACCACCCTCTGGTCGCGAGCGAGCCAGATCCCGATCTCCCCACAAACTAGAATTCTGTGTGTATTTGAAAGGACTCCCGTATGAAGCTGAAAACAAGCAGATCTTTGAGTTTTTCAAAAATCTTGACATTGTTGAAGATAGCATTTACATTGCGTACGGTCCCAATGGCAGGGCAACCGGTGAGGGATTTGTGGAGTTTAGGAACGAAAATGACTACAAAGTTGCTCTTGGATGCCATATGCAGTACATGGGTAGTCGGTTTATTCAGGTGCATCCGATCACAAAGAAAAACATGTATGAAAAGATAGACACCATTCGCAAGCGAATGCAGGGTTCCCAGGGCGATCAGAAGAATAGCTCGGGAGGAGGAAAGAGTGCCAAGAATTGTGCTCACATAACCAATATTCCTTATAACGTGACAAAAAAAGATGTCCGTCTTTTTCTTGATGGCATTCAGTTGTTTGAGGAAAGTCTTAAAGTGCTAGTTGACGGAAACGGTAATGGTCTTGGCCAAGCTATTGTGCAGTTCAAGTCTGACGAGGATGCACTGAAAGCAGAGAGACTCCATAGGCAAAAATTGAATGGCAGGGATGCTTTTGTTCATTTGGTAACATTCGATCAGATGAAGGAAGTTGAGAGAAATCCTCCTCCACAAGCAAAGAGAGGCCAGAAATCCCTAGGCAATTCCCATGCCCATACTCATGCACATGCACATGCGCAGCCCCAGGCCCAAGTTCCCCAAGTGCCTCATGCTTTTCCAGGAATGACAGGCGACGAGTTTAGTTTTCTGAGAAATGCTGTTGGGACCCTTGGCAACGGTCCCCCTTTTGTCAACCCCTTCGTTGCCCCAGGTAACGGACTGGCAGGTCCACCGCCTTTGCCGCCACTTGGTGCTGCTTTGGGTGATGTCCCGCTAGGCCTTCCCCCACCAATGGTTGGAGGACCCCTTCCCGGTCCTGTTCTAGAGCACCCTGGTTTCAGACCCAGTGCACCTTCTGGCTTTGGTGCACCAGAGCCATTAAGGGGCATCCCATCCTTTGATAATGGATCTTCTCGTAAAGCCATCGGCCAAAATCATGGAGGAAGCCAAGGTCAGAGGCCAGCTACTGAGAATCTTAGAGGACCTACCAGTGGTCCAGGTAATTCAAGGCCCACCATTGTCAAAATTCAAAACATGCCCTTTACTGTGACTGTTGATGAGATAATCGATTTTTTCTATGGCTATCAAGTGTTGCCTGGTTCTGTATGCTTGCAATTCAATGAGAAAGGTTTGCCTACTGGGGAAGCGATGGTTGCTTTTGACTCCCAAGATGAAGCAATGGCTGCTGTTATGGACCTGAATGATAGGCCTATTGGGGCAAGAAAAGTGAAGATCACTTTGGGATGAAAACAATGACTTTGTCATTGCAAAGTATGTTTTCTTTTGACACAGTTTTCTGTCAAATTAACTAAACTGGTTGTTTAAGTACAGCAGAAGAAACTGACAAAAGTATTAGTTTTTTTTTTCCTGGACACATTATGCATCCAAGATTGCGTTACATGAAGCATGACAATTGAGGAAAGCCGATATTTATTTTTAATTTCTCTAAACAGCGTTGTTTAAGACTTCAGGCCAATAATGTTTTAGTACACATCTGCAGATCAGAAAAAGGGGCAACTTCATAGTGGTATGTTCATTGGAGCCTAATAGCTGTGGAGGAGGTTAGTTCCTCATTGTTTGGTATCTCCGCAGTTTTACACATCTGTATATTATTAATGCTGCATAGTACGCATTTGAGGTAAAAAACAAAAGGCTGCTGTGCATTGTGCGCTTATATACATGTCTACACTTCAGTTTCAATGTTTGCTCTCTGCTGCAAGTTTTTTTCTGTCAATAAAATGCTATGTCTATCAATATCTGTTGCTGTCACATTGGATTGCTATAAAAGCCTGATGTCAAACAATACTTCACTGTACACTATAAGCGGTTGTGAAGCACATGAGGCATTGTAATATAATGTATATGAAAGCATTTTACTCTCTTTGCTTAGCTCTCTTCACAATGTGTTGTGGTGTTCGATAGCTTCCTTTTTTTTGGATGTTTGGCTTTTTTTTAAAAGTTCTGCAGAAATGGATTAGTTGTTATACGTAGTTTATTTTGACGTTCCAGCGCTTTTTCTCTTGTAAATACTTTCCAGCTGAATTATTTTGTCAATAAAATGCCATTCCTGAAATGATGACACTTAAAGGTATTGTATTCTCTCCTGTCCTTCTGTTTCTTTCAGTTCAATTGTGAACAATAAAATGTTTTGCTATGACTTGTTTCCCATATTGACCTGCATATCTTTTCGACCCCATCAGATGTTCTAAAGATGTGACTCTAGCTCTAATCTTTTGCTTGTTGCTTAAGACTCTTTATAATACTTTGGCATTGACCTTTTCCCTCAGTGCTTTATTTAAAACGTATTTTTTAATATCAAAATAAGGCTCTCTTTTAAAATTTTATATTTTCTGCTGCCATAGATAAGCATTTCAGGTAAAAGCTTTATACTGTTTTGTTTTTTAGAGTGAAAAATAGTCTAGTAGTTATTTTAGTTTGGATTCTGTTGAACAGCACCACATACATTTAATGTTTACTTATGCCTGGAGCATTACACAAAACATCTTAATTGTGTATGGATAAAAAAAAACTCATGAGATTCTGCCCCAGTTGTGCCACAGATGTTTTTTTTTGAGAATGCAGTGTCTCTTTATGAAATGTTAAAGAGGAACCCCATTTTTGCATTTGGCTTTTTTTGTACTTAGTTATGATTTAAAAGTGGATGAACAATTCTCATGCAAACTGCACTGAGAGACACGTGACATGTTTCATCGTTTTGGCTGTGGATTATGATGGCAAATGATTATATGCTGCATAAAAGATTATTCAAGTTACACATGCTTTCTGTAAGCTGTCAATTCTCTCTAACAGCTGGGTTTTCAAAGAATTCTGCACATTCTCGATGCATTTCTTTAAAGCAGGTCAAGTGGTATTGCTCTCAAATGCTGCTCTTTGATGCTTTGAATCTGCTTGCACTGGGCCTGTTCAGAAGCACAAGTTCACAGTTATTTATGCAAGTTTTTTTATTATTTGGGTTGAGCTTTTGTACTTTTGGTGTTGTGAAATGCTTTGGAATTAAATTCATGATGAATTGAGTGCATTTCTGCCTGTTTCGCATTCTTGAGTGGTTCTCAAGCATTGTGGACCCCATTTTTTTGTGCCTTTTTGATGATGAGCCTTGATTCCTGATAAACATTAATGTTCAGGTAAGTTGTAATGATAGACATTATTGCTGCAATAAACTATCTGTGAGCATTGGATTTTCTGGCAGATTTATAAGTGTTTGATAGTTGTTGTTTTTTTAGTTTAAGGAAGACTGCATTGTAGTGGGAAGGGGAATTGGGACTTTTTATGTTTATGACTTTTTATGTTGAGTTCATTTTGAGGAATAAAATTTCATTTATTGCCAGAGTAATTCTGGAAAATTCTGGACTGATATTGCAGCAGAAATATTTTGTTTATATATTTCCAATATTATTAATATTTTAAAGTGGAGGTATTTATTTGAATTTAATTATATTGTTTCTGTAGCCTGGTTTCACATACAAGGTTTAGTTATAAAAGGTTTAGTTTAATCCTTTAAGCAAGGATAAGGCCTAAGTTCAATTAGGTAATTTCTAGCTTTTACGATGTGCATTATTAAAAAAAAAAAAAACATTACTGGTGTAAATCTGGAGACAAAATGTATGATGCACATGTTAAGATGGCAGATCAAGTCCTTTCAGGTTAAAAACAATCGAACTTGCATTGTAGTCTGTGGCAATGTTTAAGCCTTGTCTGTGAAACCTGAAGTATAAGTTGTGTGCACAATAACAGTTAATATACTGCTTTATGGTGGTGATTTGAATAGGGAAGATTGGTGTTGAAAAGGAATGCTTTTTAATAGACGTTAAGACTTCTATACATTTAAGGCTATATTTTGATTGCACTGCAATATCAAGAAGGAAAAAAGGCTAATTTGTCACTCTCAAAGACAGATTAGCCAACAAATGCGGAGTAATATAGGAATTTGTTCTGTAGTGTGTTTTTTGCTTTTTGTAAATTTGGCTCAGTTGTGGAATCTGTTACCATGGTGACATAGCGGTCAAGGCAATCATGCTCTGCTTCTGCTCGCAGTTTTTTTTTAACCCAATTGCTAAGACGGGTTGCTCTTTTAAACCAGTCGAAACTAGTTGCTGTGCTGTGGTGGCACTTCTGATGAAACTGACACACTGGCAGACCACGTAACAAATGTAATGCTCCTGTTCTGATTGATTGCTGCATTGTTGGGTGTAACGTTACGTGAAAGTATTATGAACTCATGCAGTCATATTAATTTATTCAACTATTACGCTGAAACTCTTTCATTACAATTGTGTTTTAATATAAATGTGATGAGTATGAGTTCACGGCGTTGGTAAAAATGAGAATGTTTGTAGTAGTTGTCTGTAATGACTCACTCCACGTTGGTTTCATGCACAGTGGTCTGTGCTGCCGCTGCGGGCTTGTGTTGTGATTGACAGGCCCCTGACCAATCGCAGCGTAGTTCAGCTGACGTTCTGACCAATAGCGTTGCACGTCTAGAGAGGAGCTGAATGGCACCGCCCTGCTCATTTGATATGAGATGAACGTGTCAGGGTGTAGGCGGTAGTAGTACTAGCAAGCAGCAGTTTTGTTTCTCGACACTCGACAGCCAGTCTCCGAACACTGAACACTGCAGTTTTGAAAGTTGTTAAGGGTATGATATTTTTATTTTCACCGTAGCATTTTGTCAGCGCATCATATAGGATTGGGGTGTCTGTATTAGATTTGCAGTGCGCCATTAAGCAATTTAAAAAGATAGTTTTAATCGCGTTAACACATTTAAGGCGTGACTCTCGGACAGTCTTAAATACTGACATTTAGGCCCACACGACACTAATTTAAAAAAAAAAAAAAAAAAACCGAGCGTGTATGATCCGAATATTATATTCATTTTGTATTGCTTTTTTTACTGCCAATTTGATCAGAATTGTCTGAACATTCCTTTCTTTCATCAAATTTTAATTCCTCGCGTGTGTATGTATTCAGTAATGATTCATTGAAGCAGTTAAACTCGAGGCAAGAACTTCATACTTTTTTTTGTGTCTGTTGTGGTTTTCAGATGGCCGTTCAGTGTGTGTCGAAAATCGAGCTCTCCATCTCTTGCAATAATCTTCTGGATAAAGATGTTGGATCCAAATCTGATCCACTCTGTGTTTTGCTGCAGAGTGTCGGCGATGACAAATGGACAGAGGTAAGTTATACACTGTAACTTAAGTCTCGAATAGCCGCTGTAACAATTGCAGTTACGCTTCCTTTTTTTAATATAGTATTACAGCTGTTGACACTTTAAAATGCATCACTGCAACAGTTTTGATGGGAGAAAATGTCACTGCTCTCTGACACCATTACTAATACTTTTGAAACCGACATTTCTGTGATTTTGATTTAATGTTTAAAGTAGTTAGTTAGTACTTAACATTTATTATTTGTATAATTGTGTTGCAGGCTTTAGGATTGCAGAATGCATACAACTAATGTGTATATGCACACACATACATGCATACAGACATGATGCATATATACGGGTGAAACTCGAAAAATTTTAATATCGTGCAAAAGTTCATTTATTTCGGTAATTCAACTAATTAATAGACTGATTACTTTTAAAGCCTTTGTTATAATTTTGATGATTATGGCTTTCAGTCGATGAAACTACAAAGCTGGCACGGAGGTATATATAATTACAAAATAAGGTCATTATGACTGTTATTGTCGTTGATATTATTTTAGAAAGTAACATCATGTAAGATATCACTTCATGTGACAGCCGTTTCTTCAGCAGCTCCAGCTCTCAGACGCACAGTATACACATCAGCGTCTGAATTCACTCACTTTGCTTCACTTCAAATTGTGATGCCATGAAATATGCCGAATTGTGTGGACATCATTTTTAGCCTGGCTGTCAAACAAAGAAAACATGCCACAGCAATCATTTACAAATAAAATGATTGGTTCTCTGTTGTTCTTTTAGTCACTTCTTGATTCTTTATTCCTCATTTTATGATGGTATCATTCGAACTTGTAGAAAAACAAATGACCTTATTTGCTTGTCACATTGCCGAATGTATGTGATCATTGCAGGTAGAACGCACAGAGAGAGTGAAGAATTGCCAGGACCCCGAGTTCTCCACAAAACTTCACATCGACTACTACTTTGAGAAGGTGCAGAAACTAAAGTTTGGCGTCTATGACATTGACAACAAGTCCGTTGACCTCAAGGATGATGACTTTCTGGGAGGCTTTGAATGCACCCTTGGTCAGGTATGGATTGTGAGGAGTGAAACAGTGAAATGCTGTTTTGTGCTAATAATTAGTCACACTGTATGCATAATGGCTTTGTTTGTGCACCAACCTTTACAACAGATTGTATCAAGTAGGAAGATTACCAGACCCCTTCAGCTCAAGGAAACAAAACCAGCTGGGAAAGGCACAATAACAGTATGTTCATATGAACACTCTTAGTGATATTTCCAATATGGCAACATTTGTTAAAGTACATGGGAATTTGTCACATGACGGTTTTACCATCTTCCTGTTGAATGTTTTACTGGCATCAGAATTCAATTCATCTTCATTTGTGTATCTTTGTTTGTTCATAAAATAATTAGTTTTATTTGATAATTCACTAAAGCCCTCTGTTTGAGCAGAAGAACATTTGCATATTTCAATTCATGCAAAGTTTGTCAATGATGTGTATCATCATCTAGCTGTTGGTTTTTGCAAGCATCGGTTTCCACATTTCTAAAACAGTTCTGCCATTCAAAATGTTTGTTACATATAGCAATGTTGTATCTTTATGTTCAGATTACAGCAGAAGAAGTGAAGGACAACAGGGCTATTGTAATGGAAGTGGAGGCAAAAAACCTGGATAAAAAGGTAGACATAATAATCCTCTGTTCTTGCATCTTGATTTGCAATTCATCAGTTATTGCTGCAAAAGAAGCAGGGAAAATGTTTAAATGTCACCACTGGTTAACCACACAAAAAAACATATTCTGGGTTAAAGACAGTTATGGTACTAACTGTTTTGAGTTATATGGAAGCTGCACTATTCACTTATCTTTTTCAGGATCTGTTTGGGAAATCTGATCCATTCTTGGAGTTTTTCAAGCAGGAAGAAGATGGCAAATGGCAGTTAATTCACAGGACAGAGGTTTTTACCCACTTTCACTCATTCAGTGAACCAAATATTAGTATATTTCTGCATGCATAACAAATCATGAGTTGTTGTATTTTTCTTTTTTCTGATGGTTCTGTTAACTTTGACCTGTTACCGATAGGTCATCAAAAATAATTTGAATCCATCTTGGAAAAAGTTTACGGTCTCCTTGCATACGTTCTGTGGTGGTGACCTGAACAAACCAATCAAGGTAACTACAAAGTTGTTGTTGTTGTTGTTTTTTATTGCTCACTCAGATGTGCATTTGTCATGGTAAGTTATCAGAATTGTAGAAGATAGTTTTTCTAAGCAAGAGAAAAACAATTTACTTCTGCTCGTAATTCTATTTTTTGGAACATCACATACACTACCGTTCAAAACTTTCCGGTATGAGAGATTTGTTTTATGTTCTTGCATTTATTTGCTGCGTTTGTTTGACAGAGATCTTTTGTAAAGATCCAGCTGCAATAGCGATACATGACCACTCTGTTTTAGAAACTGTTTTTATTTCTGCAATGTCATGGCTTGAACAATATGCAAAGGGTCGCAATGATAATCTCCTGTTGTGATTATGTGCTTTATTTGATGTTAATAATTTAGTTTGAGTTTGAACGTTCAAGAGCGTTCAAACAATGGACTGCATTTTTGCCCTTATATCTTGAATTTTAGGAGCATTCTGTAGGCTCCATCATGTAGCGAGTTGTTGCCCTTCTTCATGTTCGTCACCAATCAATTGTATAAAATGTAAGATTGCATATTTAGTTCTGGGGTGGGTGCGATAAACGCATTTTTTCCCCTATTACTAATTCATTAAATGAATGCGCTAAATCGACAGCCCTATTTAAAAAAAAACATATGGTGTAATATTAATGGATTTGGTTAGGACACTGTGTAAAATTTTTAACTGATAGATCTGATCAATTAAATGCGAATTTGCTTGATAGAATCTTACTGACCCCCAACTTTTGAACGGTAGTGTACAAAACTTTTTCAGTGGTAGCTCTTAGATCAGAAGAAAAAACTCTAATCATGTCATGTAAAGAAGTCATCTGCCAGCATTTTCGGTTGTCCTAGTTCTTAGACTAAAGCTTTGTCTGATTGCTAGGTAACATGTTACGATAAGGATGAAGACACAAGCTCAGACATGATAGGAGAGTTCACCTGCACCACCGCTAAACTAATCGAGGCTAAAGACAATGCGGTGAGCAGGATACATGTCCTCTAAACATCTTTCTTTTTCTTTCTGTCTCTGTCTGTCTCTCCGTGGCTTTTTGTTTTAGGTTCATTGTTTTGATTATGATAGCGATGGCTCTCATGATCTCATTGGTGTGTTTCAAACTAATGTGTCAGATCTGCAGAAAGCAGTTAATGGCTCCCCGGTGAGACTCCGCCTCCATTGCGCCAGACTTTTTTGTTGTCATTGTGTTAATAGTAGAACTTTTTTTATCTTCACATACATTTCTATTCTATTCACTTCTATAATTTCTGAGGGTTTTATTAAAGGGCATAAGTGAAAAGTTTTTTATTTTTGTAGGTCGAGTTTGACTGCATTCATCCAGAGAAACAAAAGAAGAAAAAGAGTTATAAGAACTCTGGGGTCATCAGGATTAAGTATTGCAAGGTTCGAACAACCTTCATCTGTTATGAATGAAAATGGAAATTGCAGAATTCTTTACAATAATTTTACAATAATGATAGTAAATAATCTCCACACTGTCTTTCAGCTTGAAGCACAGTATTCATTTCTGGATTATGTGATGGGAGGTTGCCAAATTAACTTCACGGTAAGATCAGACAGTCATGGCACAATATTTGTGGGGTTTTTTGCAGTTGTTTTTTTGTAGTTATTTACATGCTGAGATTATCAATGGGTAAATTTGTAACTTTATGGTTTACGCTCTAAAACAGTGGTGAAAATTGTTTGGTTTTAGGTTGGCATTGACTTCACTGGCTCTAATGGAGACCCCCGCTCCCCTGACTCTCTTCATTATATCAGCCCTAATGGTGTAAACCAGTATCTGTCAGCCATCTGGTCCGTTGGTCAGGTAGTCCAAGACTATGACACGTAAGAGGGCGATTTTGTCAATTGACTCTCCACCACCTGTATGACAGAAGGAAAACACCATTCAATGTTGCAACAAACTAACATATGTTCACCAATTGAGTAGTGCATTGTAATTGATTGTTGTAAGGAAAGTATAGATATAGGCAAGTTGTTTGAATATGTATACATTAACATTCAAAAGTTTGGGGCTAGTATGTTTTTTTTTTTTTTTTTTTTTTAAGAAAGTAATACTTTTATTAAGCAAACATGCATTACATTAATATAAAGTGACAGTTAAGACATTTAATGTTTCTTTTTTTTTCTATTTTTGTCTTTTTTAATCACCATTTCCACAAAATAGTAAACTATTTAACATATACTTTACATATACTAACATATTTAACACTGAAGTAATGATTGCAGATAATTCAGCTTTGCATCACAGGAATAAATTACATTTAAGATGTATTAAAATACATGCGAGTTCTTTTACATTGTAATATTTCCCATTAGATTCATAAGATTCATCCGACATCAGATTCATAAGAGACTTTTTGTACCAGTACACGAGTCCTTTTGTCTACAACATATTTTTTTTTCTGTCTTCCCTTGTAGTGATAAACTTTTCCCAGCATTTGGATTTGGTGCTCAAATACCTCCAAACTTTCAGGTTAGAGATTACGGTCTCCCTGATACTTTTTCATTATTAGTTGTAATCATAATTTAATTTGACAAAAGTGCCTTTTCTCAATTTTTAGGTATCCCATGAGTTCCCATTGAACTTCAACCCCAGTAGCCCATATTGCCAAGGTAAGGCAATTTAATTTAATGTTATTTAACAATTGCGTAACTATGTGACTTAAAAGAAATTCTAGCATGTTTGCCACATGTGCTGATGTTTTATACAATGCAGGAGTGCAAGGAATTGTGGAGGCCTATCGTATGTCTTTGCCTCAAGTCCGTCTTTATGGACCGACCAACTTCTCCCCCATTATAAATCATGTGGCCCGAATTGCAGCTGGAGCCGCCCAGCAACCAAATGCAGCTGTGAGTAATACCACCAAGTGCCCTTTTTTTTTTTTTTTGTAGTACACTGCCTCATCCAACTCAGGATGTGGTTTAATGGGTACTCGTGCGTTTTTTTATCTGTGATGTACCATGGCATTTTCAGACCATTAGCACTATGTCTAACATCTTTCTCTCTCAATTAGCAATACTTTGTGCTGTTGATCATCACTGATGGGGAGATCACTGATCTTGACCAGACCAGACAGTCCATTGTAAACTGCTCCAAACTTCCCATGTCCATCATCATTGTGGGTGTGGGTGAGGCAGACTTTAAGGCCATGGAGTTTCTTGATGGGGACGGTGGAGTTCTCAAATCTGTGTCCGGAGAGGCGGCAGTCAGAGATATCGTGCAGTTTGTGCCTTTCAAGCAGTTTGCCAGTGTATGATCCTCATTATATTTAAATATAAATTGCATGCTGGTTAGAAGTTCTTAAATTCATATCCAGTGTTTTCTCTTGTTACGTCGCTGTCAATACTTAATCTCAATTTCTTCTTAGGCTCCTAAAGAAGCATTGGCTCAGAGCGTTCTTGCTGAGGTGCCAAATCAACTGGTGTCGTACTTTAAAATGAGGAATCTGCTTCCTGTCAACCCCCCTCCACCGACCAAGTAGACACCGGTTTGCAATGAAGACTGAAACATAGCCATCTATATAAAATAGTTACAAGTTAAGTATATGGAGCATCACTAGAGGGAGCCACAGTTCTGTTAAAGGAAGCAATGTCGGGTGTTGAGCTCTTACAAATACCACTTTTATTCCATTTGTATTGCCTTTTTTATATATATCATGCAAACAATTTTTATTTTCAGTCCTTCATAGATTTCTTTTATTATCCTAGATTCTTCATATTATTCTTTTCCAACTGGTATAGAGTTTTTATAAATATTCCTTTTTACAGATCTATTTTCCTGTATTATTACATATATTTTTTTATATTGTTTATGGATACAGATGCCTTGATTTTTCCTTCAGCCAAGATTTGAAATCAATCGTTAGGCCTTTCTATTGCTTTTTGGTGCCTATGTATGCAATATCAATCAGGAATGCTGATTTATGAATAGCTATGCTAGTTATCAGTGAATTACTACTCATTCAGCCACTATGCTGCAAAACACAATCATGCTCTCATAATAGAGATGATTAGTAGTTTGCCAAAGAAATCACTGCATGACTTTTAGTAGCACACTATATGAGTTTAAGTAGAACTGAATTTTAAAAATGCTGCTTTACTAATATAAAGGAATTACGTAGACTTTGGGATTATTTAAGACCACAGTGTCTTTTTAAAAAGTTGTAGTTTGTGCCAAGTAATATTTGAAAGATTCCTTTGGAATGAGAGGTAATTTGATTTATTTAACACAAATGTTTGCACCTTAATCGCACAGTAAAGTTAATCTGCACTTATCCTTTAGAGCTGTTGAATTTAGTAATATGTATGCTTGCTCTTGCCACATAAAGCCTTATGGGACCGTTATCTTGTTTTAATCTATTGATTTAAAGGGAATGGGGTTATAATCATATTATGATCGTTTTTCTCCATGCCCTTTGATTTTTTTCTAACCATGAAATATGTTTACACAGCAGCATGTTGTTCTGTTCTTCAGAAGCCATTTTATACCGTCAAGAAATGCTAAATAAAATTGCCATATTAACACACATGTTTGTTTTGGGGGTTTTTTTTATCCTTGAATGTGTAGTTTGTCATGTATACAACAAAAATGGCATAGTATTATTACAATCACTTTATGCATTTTAGTCTTAAAGGCCGATCTGAGCACAGCCGTTTACCTACGCTCCTAGTACGCCCTTAGGTCACTAACTGTTAACTTAAATTACCATAGGTAAATATTCCCTGTCCTCCGCTGCCTAGGGAGTTTTCCTTCAAATGAGATTCCAGCACAGTTCCTCAAGGTGTAGGGTCGTGTAGTCTAAATGTTTTCGAAGACCACATGTGTATTGGATATTTGAAAGTGGCTTCATTGAGGATAAATCTGTACCGCTTCAAAAAACAATGATGATTAACAGCACTCAAAACTAACACTGGTGGATCAGGATTATAAGAAGCAGAAACACACCAGCACTCTGCCATGTCTATTACTGTCATTTTAAAGAAGATATATAATCTGCCAGGGAAATATGACAGAAAAGTGGAGTTGTCATTTAGAGGTAAGTGCTGGATACTGAGGAGTAACTAACTATATCCCCATATGATTAATATTGTCGATTCAGTTGGATAAAAAAATATTTTGAATATATTATGTAAATCTTCAGTACTTTTATTATTTGGGAAATGATTGAGGGATTATATCATGTTACTATTTTAAAACATTGTTTATGGTGCAGGATTTACTCACAAAACCAGGATCCTTCAGTGTGAGAATGTAGCCATCTTCAATGAGGTAACTTGTTTCAGTTGTGTTTACAATTAACCATTACAATTACATTTATCTTCTGCCTTTTTTTAAAGTTATGATAATCACAACAGGATGCCAACAAAAACAGCTAATATTTTAATTACTGTTCCAGTCGTAAAAGACAATTAGGCTATTAGCTGCATTTCAAAAGTTTGGGGTCGGTATGAATTGTTTTTGAAAGAAATCTCTTCTGTTGACCAAGGCTACATTTCTTTTATAAAAACAGTAATATTATGATGCATTACATTTTAAAATAACTTAAATTCTATTTTGATGTTAAAATGCAATTTATTCCCACTATGGCAACACTGCATTTTCAGCATCATTACTCCAGTCTTCTGTCACGTGATCTTTCAGAAATTCTTATCTGATGATTTGTGATTTTGTTCATGTTGAAAACAGTTTTCCATTATATTTTTGTGGAGGCCGTAATAATGTTTTCAGGATTTTTTTTTTTTTTTTTTTTATGTTTGTTTTCCCGCCCTTCAATCAATGCAGTAACGTTAGTTTCCGGTATTATTTTTTACTCGGTAACGGATACGATTTCAAATGTAGCGAAGTACAATACTTAATACAAAACATACATACTTAAGTAAAAGTACAATGACAAATGACAAAATTTTCATTTTGGGGTGAACTATCCCTTTAACCAGCTTCATGTTTTATGCCTTTTTTTTTTTTTTTTTTTTGCACTTTTCAGTGATTGTCTATAATATTAGATAAGGTGTAAAAAGTGTAAAAGCAACAAATGTAGCTGCTCATTGTTATAGTTGTTGAAATCAGTGTTTGGTGGTTTTGTATGTTGGGAGGAGATCTTTAGTGGTTGGCTACAATGACAGAAGCGACTTGAACATTCTCAGAGTCTCGTAAACCGCCACATCTATGAGCAGCATACAGTAATGAAATTAAAATATTTGTCTAGTAGGCTATGTCACAAGGTTATCCTTTAACTTAAGCTAACAGATATCAGAATAGTGGGAAGGACCAGACAGAAAAGCTGTTCAGCCTCAGTGAAGATGAAGCATGTTCAACATGGTTTATGAAGAGGAAGTCTTTGGGCTTTTCATTTATGAGAAATGCAGTGACTGTAAAAGAGGGAGAGATCTAACACAAACCTTTACAAATGTGAGTCAGGAGAGAACTGAGACATAGAATTTTGGACTTTCTATTCTTCCCACACATCACAAATGTTGATAATAAGTCTGCTAAATGAATAAATGTAATAAGTCGAGGACTAAATCAGCATATTCAAATTTCTGAAAGAGCTTGCGACACTGAAGACTGGAGTAATGACTGCAGAAAATTCAATTTTGCCATCACAGGAATAAATTACATTTAAAATATATTAAAATAGAAAACGTAATTTGTAACTGTACATCTTGTCTCGAGATATGAGCAATCCATAATCATGAGGAGATGAACATCTGAAGGGAAAAAATTCCCTTTAGCATGTGTGGAATATATATAAACATGTTTATACTGTTTTGTTTGTTTGTTTGTTCTGGTATTGTTTATGTATGTGACTTTAGCACTTCAGATGGCCTCACTATGGGAAGGTTGAGAGGGATGAAGTGCTGTCAATCAGTGTCTACAACTGCAGTAAGATGTTCAGCAACAGGTCAGAACAGTATTCATTGGCAAATGAACTGAATGAACATAACATAACAAATACTATTAGAAGATTTAAGTACTGTATGTGTGTGCACAGATTGTTGGGGAAGCTGGTGATCAACCTGCAGCATGTGGTGTCTGTGGGACAGCTGCTTCTCCGTGAGTCTCTAACAGACAGTCAGCACAGTCTTACTGATGTGAGTTATGAACACTCCTCACTCATTTAACATCCCTTAAACAAATACACTTCATGATATTATAACATCTGTGTGGTGAAAGATTATTGAATCCTTCTAGATGTTCATATGTTGTAGTTTGGTTTTGTGATGGTGGATTTCTGGTGTAGATCTACATGGAGCTGGAGGTGAAGTACAGCCCTCTTCAGGGGGCCGCAGGGGGGTGGGACAGTGAGGACTTCATCAGAGAAGAGGACAGTGATGGGTAAACTACATCTATCCATCATCCGATCTTTCTTTGTACCTTCCTTTCTCTGTTGATCTTCCATCCTTTCTTCTTTTCATCTTTCTTGACTTTCTTTCTCTGTTTCCATCCATCCTTCTGTTCCTTTTTCATCCATTTTCCCTTCCTTCACTGCTTCCACTTCTTTAATTCATTGTTTTCCTTCCTTCTCTTTCCATACATGCATCCATCCATCCATCCATCTATCCATCCTTCTGTCCCTTTTTCTTCCATTTTCCATTCCTTCATTGGTTCCACTGCTTTTATCCATTATACCATTTCCTTCCTTCATTTTTACATCCACCCATCCATCCTCTTTAATACGTTTCCCTTCCTTAATTGCGTCCACTGCTTTTATCCATTACATTTTCCTTTCTTCATTTTCCCTTCATCCATTCTTCCTTCAGTCTTTCACTACTTCAGTTAATTTCTCTTCTTTCATTACTTCCCTTGCTTCTATCCATCAATTCTAACTTTTCCTTCCTTCTTTTTCCTTTCAACCATCCATCCATCCATCCATCTCATCCACTTTTTTCCCTTCAGCTATACCTTCTATCTAATCTTACTTCCTTTCTTCTGTCAATCCATTCTTTCTTCTTTCGTTTCTTCCATCCAGTATTTCTTCCTTCCTTACATTCTTCCTTCCTTCCTTCCATATTTAATTTCTTACTACTTTCTTCCTTTTTTCCATCCATTCATCCCATTTTCTCTCTTCTATTTCAGCTCAGAGCTTGTCATCAGAAACACAGGTTTTACGGAACCAAGGTAAGGCATCTTCTGTATGATCCACTATACATTTTCATACCCTTTATTCATGGTATTCACACTGATATTTTCAATAATTCACAGTTCTTCAGATGGCCTGCGTCCTCAGCAGCTGGATCGTGAAACCAGGATGATTGGGCGGGGGCTTTTAAAAACTGATCATGAGAACGGAGACGAAGATGATGACAATGACTATGATGATGATTATGACTTTGCCGATATTGAATGTGGCAATGTGACATTCACTCCCATTTTGAGGTGCATTTCAATGACCTTTTAATGTCATACATTACACTACACCATTATGAACTCTATTGTATTGTATTGCAGTGTAATATATTGCATAGCTAAAAATTACCCATCATGTTATTCCCATTTTTGAAATTTAATTTGAGAATGTAACAAGTTTGATAAATAATACTGACTCACTGCTTTGTTGATGTTTGTAGTCGTTGCAGGGCCATAGCAAAACACGAGCTTGCCATCACACCTAAAGTGAAGTCTTTCCAGGTAAAACTATCCAGTGAGGAAAACATACTTATTTCATATACAAGTAATTGTTTACCTCATAACTGACTCTGTTTGATGAGTGTCTACTAGGGTTAAATCTTTTTTTCACCTCAGGTGAATGTAAATGTGATTGAAGCTCAGAAACTGGTTGGGGTGAACATCAACCCAGCAGTGTATGTGACTATTGGGGATGAGAAAAGGCACACAGCTACTCAGAAGTCTACCAATTGTCCATTTTACAATGAGGTAACTGCTCGCAAAGCACTCAGCTTTAAGGCCGTTTACACCAAGAGTGATAATAACTACTAAGCTATAGTTGTGAAAATCATTCTAAATATAAAGGTCAAGTTTGTTAATATTGCACCTTAAAACAACATGAAAGCTGACCAAAATGCTGCAGAATAATAGAATAAAAGAATAATAGAAACCAAAAATATTTTAAATACTATTAAAATGAATAAAAAGGAAAGCAGATCAGAAAATAACTGGATGAAGTGCTTGAAATACAAATACTAAAACCTTAAAATCAACTCTTAATTGACAACTCTAAATTAACAAATTAAGTGAGGTAACCTGTGTCAGAGGTAACCAACTAACACAGGTGTGATACTCTTTTTTATAGCTACTTGTCAAAAAAAACAAAAACGAGTAGGACCATTGTTGGCACGAGAGTAAGGACTGATTAATTCCAGCATAAAGAGTGTTACAGTAATCCAGATTAATGCATGGAAACTAGTCATCAAAACTAAAATAAATTTTTTAAAGAATAGCAGTCCACATCACAACTGTAACGATAACTTCACAGAGAGACGATACTGTTGATTTTTTCCATCTAATGAACGATGAAATCATTGACAGCCAATCAAGCCACCATGCTTTGAAGAGCTCGAACATTTA